GGGGATGCCAGGGGGGGCGGCAGGGTGAGTGGAGGTGGCATGTCAGGAAGTGAAGGGTTAGTTGGGTCTGTGGTCTTGGGTGGCGAAGGTATGAAGGATGGTTTGTGACGAACTATTTTCTGTAATCGCACAACTGCGTGAAGCGGCTTCGGGGGTTGGGGACTGGTTGGCCTCCTAGCGCCTCGGGTTCCCAAACCCGTCTGAAGGCAAGCCGTGAGCTTAGTGACACGACGGGATAACTGTTGACCTATTGCTAGGCTACTCAAGCAGCAATTACCACAAAAGTCCTTCAAATGCTCAGAACCCCTGGACTCCCCAACAAAACACTCTCGTCCCTACAGGCTACAACAACTCTTGGTTTTCCCTTGGAATGCCCGGCCCAAGGCATTCCCAGATCTCTCTACCAGGCCTCACGCTCCTGCTATCAACAGGTTACAGGGCAACCCCCCAGCACCGGCCAGCGTCGTTCTGGCATCGAAAAAATGCAGGTCCATGAATATAACAGCATCAAAGATGCCTAAAATGAGTTGCAAGGAGTACCCAGAATCCTAAGGCATTCTCAAGGGACTTTTTTCTTTTTTTGAGAAAATTTGAGAAAAACTTTTAAGAAGACCTCCCCTTGCCAGCATTGATTGCCCCGGAATGTCTCAAGATGATCAGCCATTGTTTTTTTTTTTTTGGGGGGGGGGGKGTTGTTGGGGGCACAAGTAAGTTCATGTCATAATCGACTTTAAAGATGGGCAAAAAAAACACGCACCGGCAGGTCAGTCAGATGCCAAGTTTGAAAAGTCAGTAAAAAGGGTGCACCTTTGTAATAAGTGTGGACGTCATAACGTGCAGGGGGGGGGGGCGTGGTGTGCAGATGACTTGAGTTCGAAAATGTCAAAGAAATATTACAGCTTTTTTTGTGTCTTCTGCCATAATTCCGAACTCGGGATGTGTTACTTGTTTTCCAGGTTGATTGTGGAGGGATTCATGACCTCCCTATTCTTATTAAAAAAAAAAAAAAAAAAAAGGGCGATGGCCTTGCGGTATTATCATCGGACTAACCAGCCCAAGTAAATTTAATCTTGTGTCTAATTTAACATCCGGTGGCCTTTTCAGCCCAGGGTGGCCTTGTTGCCTTCCGGGAACCCCTAATGGAGGCCACCGGCCAAAGGACAGTCGGTAGCAGAGGGACTGGGCATCATCTGAGCGACCAATCTTTGTGTCTCCCTGATTACCCCTCCCCCTATGAACATCAGTAGAGACTGCTTTTTAATGCCAATTGGGGGGACAAACGGGCTATCTCTAGGTAACGGGCGCCAAGCATGCCCCGGAAGGTACATGACGCCAATGGGGATTGAAACCCAAGACCTCTTGAATGTCACTTGCGTGCCTTACCAACTGAGTTTTAAGATGATAGAAAAGCTTCTACATTCCCTGGAACAATGAGACTCGAAAATGCTCAGTCACCCGTTGGACCAGCAAACCTTCACAAACCTGCAACAGGCGAGGGACCGACTTCAAGAGTACCTGTACCAGCAAGCGGGGGCATGAAGAATCCAAGCCAGAATAAAAAAGTCAAACACAGAAGGCACCATGCCCTCAACCTTCTTCAGCAAAGCAAAAACCAAAGCAAGGCAAAACCTAGTTCCATCGTTGCATCACCCATTTGATCCACGCCAAAGGGACGCAAGCAATCCGTATAGGATAGTCGACTTCGCCTCAGTTAAAAGTCGTTTAATTCCCCTTACCCCCGTTATATTCCCATTGAATTAGAAATGGGGGGACTCCTGTCATTTTTGTTTCCACGAATTGGGTCTTGGGGGCTTCGGGTATGCAACCCAGCACCCCTGCACCCCTGCACGATTAAACTGAAAAACAAAGGAACCCCCCTTTCCCTCGGTGTGTGTGTGTGTGTGTGTGTGTGTGTGTGCGCAAGTGCATGTGAGAGCACAACACACACACACAAAGAACAAAAAAAAAACACAGACGGTCATTTCATCTTCTTTTTTTATTTTATTTTTATGCGTTTGAATTTAAAAAAATATAGGTAAAAAAAAACAAATAAAAAACATGGCATTGCAGATCTTGAAACGATCTACAACCATATTCTTTCTTATTTATTTTTTGGCCACTTTTCCCTGCAAAACAAAATCGATATGAAAAGAAAAACAAAAAAAATTAAAAAAATTCATTTCATCTTTATTTTTCAGTTTTTGTATTTATGTTTCTATTTTTTTTTTTAATACATTTAAAGAAGTAAAAATAAATAAAAAATATATGGTTGTAGATCTCTTCGAGGTCTATAACCCTATATTTTTTATATTTTTATTTGCTTATTGTTTGTTGATGAAAAACATATCCACGGGTGGTGTTGATATCCCTCAAATTGGATGTTCGATACCAATTCAATGCAGATTCAACGCGCATTAAATTATTTAACGCGGACCCTGCGTTGAATCCAAATTTAAACACTCAGCCTCTTCACCTAAGAGAACGACCAGTGGGGAAAGAAGGCGTTTGGGAATGCAAGGCATGTACTATTACAAAACCTAACAACACTACTGTCGCAACAACAAAGGACAACACCGAAACCTCCTATTACACTGCAGCCCAAGAACTCTTGGAGGCGCTGCAAGGCATGGAGGATGAAAAAAACCCTAGCCTCGACTCCTTTCCTAAGGAATTTTGGGCCCACTTTTGGGAAATCGTTCATCTTGACCTCCTCGAGTACATCCAAGTCGTCAAGATTGAGGGGAGGTTTTGGGATTTTAATATCATTTTATAGGTCAGGGTGTCACCACGCTTTTATAGAAAAAAAGGGACAACGCGGAGGTCCGAAATTACCAGTAAAAATGATGGTAAAAGCGTTGTGCAACAAACTCCTACCGCATATGGGTCATCTCATTCACATGGATCAAATAGGGTCCATGCCACAATGGAACATCCAGGACAATATGTTCTAGTGAATGCGACCATTAAATACGCGTGACGACGTTAGAAAGATGCAACGATCCTATTTATTGACTTTGAGGAAGTGTACGACCATGTGGACTGGTGCCTGCAAAAAATGAACTTTTGACCACGATTTCGACAATGGGTCAGCACCCTGCACCACTCGACGACAACCAACATTATGATCAATGGTCATCTTTCGGCATCGTTCCCACTACAAAGATCAGTGAGACAAGGGGACCTGATAAAACCATTGGTCTTTGTGATTGTCATGGAAGCGCTAGCCTCCCTTATCAAGGCAACCCCGCAATACAACGAATTGACACACCGGAATTGTCACAGCACCTAGTCCCGATTACCTCGCTATTTGCAGACGATCGCATGGTTCTCATTAAAGTCTCACCCTCTGGAGGCTTTGGTGGACACGATCCACCTCTTCTCCATCGCTGCAAACATGAAGGTCAACTGGGGCTCTAAACGGAAGGGTGGTGGATCCACACAACCGGGGAGCCCCCCCCCAGATGACCCCCCGATCAACTGGAAACCAAAAGAAGAAGCCATACGGGTCCCACGGGTAAGACTCACAGCCCCCGGCCCACCCGTGGACCATATGGACCGCCTGGTCCAAACCGCAATCCAAGCCATGACCAAATGTTAAGGCCTGCACACTTCATTGGTGGGAAGGGCCCTAGCCATCAACAACGCTATCCTATTCATTATTTGGTATAAGACAATATTCTAGATGCTACCCCGAAAACAGATATTGGTCATAAAACAAACAACCGCTGCTTACCTTTGGAGGAACGACCATGAACTACGGACTTGTATTAAAAGGGTAGCATGGGCTCAGCTGGCCTAGCCAAGAGTTAAAGGAGGCATGTGAATCATCGACCCGGAAGGGGAAATTAAAGCGTTGGTCTTCAAAGTCATGATTAGATTGTTGATGGGGAATGATATCCCATGGGCCCCATTGGCCGCTATTCAACTACGATGCCTAGCCCCCGACACAAGAGAGGAAAGGTTAATTCACCCTATAACATGGCTCATAAATTCAGGTTGGCCCTTCCCAAGTAGCCCTAAGGTGGTTGACCGAGAATCTTCCACAACGGCCACGAAGTCAGACCTAGCTAGTAATCCCCTTTGGGCCTCCATCCTTGCACTACTGAGAGATATCGATCCGGACAAACTACCATCACCGTCACAATAGCACGAAGTCTGGAGACAGCCCTGGTTCGGGAATCCCCACATCCTGACCTCGCAAGGCCAGCCTTTTCTATCAAGCACAACTCTCATTGGTAGGGATGGGCTAAAAGGGGTGTCTTCACAATGGGGGACCTTTGGGACATGAGAGTTGGTGAGTGGAAAACAACTGACCACCTTAAACCAACCTTGAAATACATCTGAAACTTGAAAGAAAAACTTCACGAGTTGTAGGAAGCCATCCCCATTGCATGGATCAGGGCCCTTAGACAGGGCTCCTTCATCCAAGAAGGGGATTGGATAATCAAAGCAACTTCCTTACCTGTCCCAATGATCATCGACCGAGTTGACCTCCTCCTACCGGTAGCGACGTTTCACGAGGGGTACCAATAGCATAGAGTGGAAAACCGGGTGAATGGCAAAAATAAAATTTGTGTCAAAAATTGGAAATGCGCCGAATAAGCGCGGTGAGTATTTCACGGTCAAAATGATTATATTTAATTTTTCTGATATTTTTCCTTGAAAGATCACATCGTCATCACGACCTAATTTACGGACCCTCAAATTTTCAGAATTTTTAAAGCATTCTTCTGAGCACAAAAATCGCCAAAGTTGGAGCTTTTAAATGGTGGGATTGGACCTACCGATGACGAACGGTCGCCGCCCCTCCGTAGAACCCGTCCCTAACTCACAATGCCAAGGGTTTTCAGTTGTCAGGGGGAGTGGAGGTTTTATGATTTGGCGCTTCCTGAGGCCAAAATGACAAGACTGACAAAAACCGAGGACCTGGACAAACAACAGTCCTGGTCAAGCCTCATAAGAGTACGAGTGGTGGGGAATGTTGAAGATGGTTGGTGCGACTTGGTGGGCCTATGAGACTGTTACCCCAATATGTTCTCTTCCATTTGACCCCGAAGAGTGGCAATGGGGCGGAGCCAAACCGCTGTCGGTCTAGGAACACCTCCTGCTCAAAGTCCGGCGCCACCTCCTCCTTCGAGTTCTCCGCCAGCTCCTGCTCCATGTCCTCTACCACGTACTACTCAGAGTCTTGCGCCACCTCTTGCTCCAAGTCCTGCACCACTGCCAACTTCGGGTCCTCTATCACCATCGCCCGTTTCGCCAGTTCAGCCGCCCGCTACAGAGGTGGAGACGCAGGAGTTGGCATCCTCCTTGCCTCAACACGGTCTTCTGCACAGATCTACGGCGATTCACCGGCTGAGGCTACGATCACCTTCCTCCGGGGTTTTGCAGGAGGAGGTTGGACACCGTGCCCTTCCGACGAACATGGGGGGGCCAGCCGTAGCGGAGGTGGAGGTGACAGCAACACCAACGGTGGAGGTGGAGGTAGCAGTAGAGGAGGAGGAGATACGAGCAGTGGCGACGGGGGAGGAGGAGGTGCGAGTTGGAGTTGCTGTGGTGGGAGAGAAGGTGGATGGTGTGGACGTCGAGGAGCGCCTCGTGCAACAGTTTGTCACCGAGGAGGTTGATCCAGTGGTGGGCGGTTTTACCCCGGGTGTCGAGAGGGGGCCGGGGATGTCTCCTCCCACAGGGTATGCGGGTTCAGAGATGGGGACCCACTTCGACTTTGACTTGTCGATGGGCGCTCCCCCTAGTTGTGGCGGGGCGGCATCCATTGGTCGAGCGCCTTCGATGCACGAGGCGGCAGGCGAGACGGGTTCGCGGACCTCGAGAGAGAGGACGGTAGTGGAGTCTCCAGATGCGGCATGCGACATCATAGAACGAGAGAGGGTTCGACTTATGGCATCCAGCGACCCGCGTGCTCAGCCGTTCGCACGGGCCTTGGAGGAGCGCAGGCGTCGAGAGACAGGCAGAGATGGTCGGCAGGGTGGGGTGGTGGCGGGGGCGGTCCGGGTGAACGTTGCAGAGGCAGTGGCAGCAGAGGCGGTAGATGACGTTGTGGAGGGTGGGCCACAGACAGTGGTTGAGGGTGTGGTTGGCGGGCCACAGATGGCGGATGAGGCTATGGAGGCTGGACAGGGGCGAGACGGGGGGGCGGGCGACTCACAGGCCGTAGTTCATGACACAACGGCGGGTTAGGTTGTCCCGTTCTCGGGCATGCAGTTGGCCGAGGCCCGACGGTCGCAGTCGGCTGAGGGGCCAGTGCATGATGTGCCACCTGTTGTTACCATGGACTTGGGGTCCGAGCCGTTGGTTGTGCGTCCACGTCCTAGACGACCGTCTCCGCATGAGGTTCATCGTTCATTGGATGCAGAGGAGTTGGCAGCAGTCGCTGTGCTCGATGTTACTGGATTGGACCGGCGAATATTTGACCAGAAACTCACCATCCACCGTGGCAGACGATCCCTTCCGTTCCATGGGCCCCTCCATCGCCAGTGTGGTCCGGGTCCACCTCCACCGGAGGTCGCAGCAAGGTAGATGTTCCTGGGGCTGATGGGGGCGTGCAGGAGAGAGCACCATGTGCGGGAGACATGCCACCCCCTCCTCCTAGACCACGTGTGGGTGATCCGTCGTCGTCGCCGACAGGCCCAGGCTCTCGATCCCCTCACACGCCCGGGCGATCTAGGATTCGTGACACGACGACGGTTCAGTGGGATGTGTGCGATACGACATTATTTAGGAGGACGGACATAAATTTGGATTCCACCCGTCGTGTCACTAAGCTCACGGCTTGCCTTCAGACGGGTTTGGGAACCCGAGGCGCTAGGAGGACCGGAGCGAGGGAGGCTTCAGCTTCAGGTTGTGAGCCGCAACGAGGTCGTGGCAGAGGAGTGTCTACAGAGACCTTGGACGATGCTTTGAGAGCAGCGACGCGTGTTGTGCATGACCAGACTCCACGCAAGCGTGGAGTGCCTTGTCCACACCCCGTGCCTGCACAGGGAGGTGCTGCACTTGGAGAGTCTTCGGGGGCGGAGGGGTTGGGGATGCCTCGTGGATCCCGCCATCAGCAGACGGCCGCACAGGCTAGTGCGAGGGTTGTTGTGTTGAGGAAGGGAGGCAACCCTGTCACCATCGAGGAGGATGATCCTGAGACGACACCGACAGTGAGGGAGGATGATGAGGATTATGAGGGTGAGGAGGAGGAGAGTGAGAGCGGGGACGGTGGTGACGATGACGACAACGAGGATGAGCCCCCACCCCCCCCACCAACGTGCGCTTCGAGACGTGTTGCGCATATGTCTCCGTCCACACGAGGGGAGAGGAGACGAACATCCAGCAGTCGAGGGGGAACGAGCAGGCAGAGTGGGAAAGGGAAGAGGGGTTGGTGCGTTCGCTTTCCCGCACCTGCACGCGACTTCGTCACATTCTGCGGTCCAGGGTTTTTGGTCGTGGTGTGTTGTCTTAGTATTGTCAGCCTGTAAGGTGGTCACTTGTAGTGTGTGTGTTGTAGTTGTTGTTGTTTTCTTCTTTTCTGTGTGTCTTATTCTGGTGTGAGTAGGGCTTCTGTACAGTATTTCAGCGTTGGTCTTAGTAGAGATTCTCACCACCGTCGACACGACTCGAAGATTACTGTTTTTTTCCATTAATCAGCATGTGGCAGTGTGGCACTAGCGACATAGTAGTAGGACACATTGTATTATGTTACGTTTTTCATGTGTGATTTCAGCGACTGGTTCTTCACGTCATGTACATTATATTTTTCATGTATGATTTCAGCTACGATTGTTGCACGTCGTGTGAACGACGTTTTATGTCTATTTTTGTCAACGTGTGAATGCATATCTTTAAATGGAGTTCAAACTTTTCATTTCATATATTTCCTTTTTTTTTTTTTTTTTTTTTTTTTTTTTTTTTTTT